TATACGAGTACATAGCTATCGTATTACATAAATAAAATAAAGTATAGTACTACAATATGAATATTTGGCGTAAATATTAGGTATATTTAAGCCAAATATTCATATTGTAGTAGTGCTCCTAATTGTCTGTTATTCTTATTCAGCCCTTTTTAACGTCACATTGCTGGACACGGGCCTGCCTTCACAATTTGGTTTTGGTAGGTTGGTGGACTTTCGAAACGGCTTTCGAAAACTTAGGTTCTATGAAGTGCAGTATCCTTATATATTTTCCTTCATATTTATTTTAATATTTAGCTAATACTTTACTGTCGCACTTTTAAAGACATCAACTGCTAACTAAATCATATGTTTTGAGATATGCGTATCCATTGTGTTTTCATATAAACGTAACTTGAACCCAGTACGTAATCGATACGCGGTATTAATATCGAATAATAATAATGATGCTATCACTGGGCATAATTTTGTTTAGCGTCCAATGCTAGTTTAAAGCTCTACAAAATGTTATAATCTAGTGAATGACCAAATGGATGCGTTGAAATTTATAAATGCCGTAAGTGTACTGAGAATTTTACCGATTAGCACTCGGCTTACTACTTAACTGGTTATAGGTGCAATATTATGATTATTGATGTCATACATTGAGCTCGATAATGTTATCAATTTGTTGAAGTTTTGCGATCGTTAGTACATTGCTGAATATTTTCACACTAACTACTCGCTTATGTCTAAAATCGTTGATTGTTATGTTTTATATGTGACATTTATATTATTTAAGCTTAATTTTTAATCTATTAAAAATAACAATTTGAAAGAAAAGACAAATCACAACGAAATAGGTACTTTAAAACAAAAAAAAAAATAACCAATATTTCTAAATAAGATTGTTTTAGTTTTAGACTTTGAAAATTTATGATAATAGAAACCCTAATAGAAATAATTTTAAATTAGATAAGTATAGCAACCCTATCGGTTAATAGTTATTCTATAAATAAATTAACTAAAAGATTAATTTTGAAAGTAACACATTTAGTCATTTTAATTTATTTTTCATCATAATACAAAAAAATAAATAAGATAAAAAAAAACTTTTGTATCGCTATTTCATAATTATTTACTATTCTATACAATAAGAAATACAGTCTAATAGCCTAAGTAGATTTGGGAGCGTAGATCTTTAGTAATTGTTTTGCAATACAAGATATTCGATTCGGTCCGCTTAATACAAAAGCACTGCGCTGCGCTACCCCACTTCATATATTTTATACGTTCAATAAAAATATGAGAAAACTAGAAAATAGATTGTTTTATCATTTTCTTTATAAGATAAATAGCCTGAAGTGTCTATATATATAATTAATTTTAATGTTTATGTATAAACCATTGCAGACCTAATTCTCATAATTGATCTACATAAGTTAAGGAAGACACGCGTAACTGCCTTTAGAGGGGTAAAAAGTCGACCTTTAAAAAGTACGCACATTTTCATACCAAATGCATCGATATCGGAGGTCCTATAAAAATAAGTAATGGTTGCTTTTATTGCTTATACACGATACATGTTTCTTTTTACTTAATATTTATAAAACATATAATATTCTGTTTGGCATTTTATTTACTTGTCGTGAGACGAAGAGGCGTAGTTTTCAGTTGTTTTCACACGTGAATGTGTTATCGGCTTGGATACGGGAATATAGACTAATTAGCAATGTTGGGAGAATAACAAATATTTTGATATTCGTTTATAAAATTAACTAAACATTTCGTTTTATTATGAAGGTTTAATATAGTTTTAAAATTGAATTTACGACATATGTAAGTCATTAAAATGTTAACTTGTTTATAATTAGAAATATTTTAAACTCAATATTATCAATGTAAAAGTGTAACCTTTTACATTCCAAGGTAACAGGTTCTATTCCCGCTTAAAGTTAATTGCTGAATGCTGATTCACTAAAATTGTCACAATAAACACATGTATTGCTTCGGAGTCTGTAAATGGATTATTAATATTAGGTTCATATCTACGATAGTGCAAAAGATCATAATTTTTAAATAAAAAAATAATTTAATTTTTAATGGAAATGGAAATCAAATCAGCTGTTTTTAGATTTCTACGAGTATGTAGTATACATGGCTGGAGATTATCTGCAGATATTTTGATAAGGTTTTTTTATTGTACAGTTAAAAGTTTAAATGAAATTAAGCGACTATTCAATCAGTAGAGCTAATCTAAAAATAAAGTTCTCCTTATTCTGCGTAGGTACTTCCAATATCAACCACTAGAAATCAAGTTTAGTTGATGTATGCAAACAGAAATAGATACCTATTATCAATACTAATATTATAAAGAGGTAAAGTTAGTGAGTTTGTGACGTTGTAGGGGATAATCTCTGGATCTACTGAACCGATATAGATAAAATTTGGTAAGAAGATAGTTTGAGAGCCTGGGAAGGACATAGGATACTTTTTATCCGGAAATCATCCCTTAAGGGGATAAAAATGGGGATGAAATTTGTGTTGGGAACCAAACTAGGGACGAACCCGAGCGTAGCGAGGGTGAGTCGCTAGTATATAATATAATAAAAAATAATGGGAAATGAACAGAGAGTCTTTATAAGATAGAGAATGACAAATGCTTATTTCTGAGATATTAATATGTTGCAAATAGTAACATAAGTAAATAGTCTATCTGTTTTAGCGTTAAAGAGTAACAAACACACAAACTTTCATATATAAAATAATAGTCCTATTACCAATATTAAAATACACTCTAAATCTAATTATTTACTACACTGTTCAGTGTACAGATTTCGCTTCCTTGAATCGCTTTTACAGTTGCATTGTTTGGGTATCGTACGAGTACATGTTGAATAATTAACGTTCTGCGTACGCTCGGTGAGGGCTAGCCGATCGTGACGTCGCGACCTCACACTTATCTCCCGAGCCCTCACGATCGCAGCACGACCACGATCACGTTGCTTTCGTTATGGCGTATAAATACTGAAAATTAAATAACATTTGTTAGTTTTTACTGAAAATTAAAAATTTAAAATCATGTCTTTAATTATCATTAATGATGTAGGTTCTAACATTAATCATAGCAGAATGTTTTGTCTGGGCTCGCTGTAGGTTGTTAAGTGACGTCACGATTTTATACTTACCTTCTCAGCGTTCACGACGCGGCTAAAGTAACAAGCTAATGTGTTAAAGTAAGCTGTCATATTTTAAATTATCTCTATCTCTAATATATAAAATTCTCGTGTTTCGTGTCACAGTGTTTGTAAGAAAGCTCCTCCGAAAAGGCTTGACCGATTCTTATGAAATTTTGTGTGTATATTCATTATTCAGTAGGTCTAAGACTAGGACGTAAACTATTTTTCATGCCGCTAAGTAATACGGGTGGTCCACCCCAAAAATTTTATTTTTTTGATAATTTTATTTATTCAATTTTTTATGATTCGGCATTAAAAATACACACAAAACTAAATTTTTACTAGGGACGAACCCGAGCGGAGCGAGGGTGAGTAGCTACTAATGCTATAAATTCGAGTTTGTATGTGTGTATGTTTGTTACTCCTTTAAGCTGAAATGGAGAGATTGATTTGAATGAAATTTAGTGCATAGATAGGCTATGACCTGGAGTACCTAACACATAGCCTAAATTATGCCAAAATACTCTTATTGTATATAGTATTAATGTTATAATAATACCCGGTGCCTAGCAGTGGGACGTTAAAAAGGGCTGATTACAAATATAAAAGGCATTTAGGTTATGACTACTTCTACTACTAACAATACATTATACATAATTGTTAGTTTTTGTGATTGTTATTATTAGATGGGGCTTAAATTATTTAGAATAATACTGTGCCTGTAAAATTTAGTAGGTTTGCTCAAAGAGATAATTTTTTTTTTTTTTATTAAAAAATAGTCTTCTTTTTATGTGATATAATTTTTAATATACATACATATAAGTATGTAATACGAGCATATAAACACTTGGTGATTTAATTATAATATCAGCTCTTAACTTTAAAGTAGAACTTAATAATGTATGGATAAATGCACCAGATAACCTGCTCGTGATTTGGTTCTTATCTGGTATATTTTTTTGCATACTAAATATATTCAAAGCCTAGAAGAAGTGCACAGCAATGATGCACGACAAAATATAGAGCTACAAAATGAAGCACTAAATCCATTTGGTCTCGTTCCGCCATTACAGTTATAGTCCATCCAATTTGGTTGCATTTTTTTACTTTTTTTTCACCACAAGATATAACCTTATTTCTATGATATAATAAAAATTATCCTGGACTTAATTTATTAATATGTAATTTAAAAAATAAAATAAATATAGTAAAAGTAAAGGACAGTTAAAACTGAAGTTATATATATAAATAAATAAATAAATTTAATAATAAATGGGATATTAACACATATCACTATCTAGTTCCATGATAAACTATGAGGCCTTTGTTATGGATATAGTTATACACTACACATATATAACTTTAAATACATACATATTATAAATATAAACACCCATGATTGGAGTGAGCATTCGTGCTCATCACACAAATAAATGCCCCCAACGGGACTCGAACCCGCGATCGCTGGCTCAGCAAGTAGGGTCAGTACAAACTGAGCCAAACGTGTCGTCATTAATATTTATAAGTAACATAATAAATAAGTTCAAATAAGAATTTAATGAGGAAATTAATTAACTCTCTATGGATATGCGATATACCAACTTAACATCATAGTACCGAGTCCTCGTTACTGAACTGATTTAAAAAAATAGGAAGTTTTCAATTCCACTATATCTTTTTCGCTATGTGGTATGTTTATTACATTTTTTTTATGATTGGAATAATATTTGAAATTAAGTATTTTTTGGATTTAAAGTTATGACCTATAAAGCTACATATATTATATTTAAGATTTTAAAACATATAAGCATGAATTTAAAATATAGCATTTTATCAATATTGTTATTTGCTTTTAGAATCAGTATATGAGTTTCGCACACTATTGTTGTTGTTAACTGCCTCGGTGGTGCAATGGCTAGCATGTACTGCTGCACAACCGGAGTCCTGGGTTCCAGTCTGGGTTCGAGTTTCACCCCCGTGCTTCGAAGAGCACGTAAAACCGTTGTCCTGCGCCTCAACTCCCACCGGTCGTGTCGAGTAGTCGTCCAACCGGAGTATGAGAGTGACAGGAATAGAGAGTGCACGTTGTGTCTGCGCGTTCACTTGTGCACTATAATATCTCCTGCGCAGTTGGCTAGTCTCAATGAGATTGGCCGCCGTGGCAGAAATCGGCCAGAAGGACATTATTTAGGCACGTTGTTTAAAGTTGCATTTATACGTCTAAGCTATAAACAAAGCTCACTCCTTAAGTTCAAGGTCGCACAGTACAATCTCAGAACATATACAATAAAGTGGCGGGAATATAGTGTGAAATAAAACCTTTTTTTTAAATTCAAGGCCTATTGTATAGATAAGTTTTCCCACAGGCAGGTTTACAACGTTAACATGCTTACACTGCAAAATCGTGTCTTGCATTAGGTTCCTGCTTCGGCTAACCAGATGATAAATTTCAAACATAACCCAATATTATTTTGCTTATAGTTCACCACAATATAAAATATCTACATATTTAATATAATATAAGCTTTACATATAATTTTAAATGTAAGAAGATTAAATTTATCATTAAAAATATAGAAGCCAAATTAGTACACAGTCCAATTAATTATGGTTGATTTTGATAATATTATACCCATCCTAATATTTTGAATGATTTTTTTACTTTCCTACCTCCACCCTCATTTTTTAAGTAACTAGGGGCGAACCCGAGTGGGTCGCTAGTTAAATTCGTAAAAGTAGCAATTAAAACGAATTATTTAAATATATCTTATGATGTTAACCAAAACATTGTTAAAACACTAAATTATTTTTAATTTTAAGTTATTTATAATGAGCTATCAAACGTCTGACTTAAAATAAAAAGATATTTTATTTAAAAAAACTAGATATTTTGCATAGATAGAGACCTAAAAATGGTTAATACGGCATATTGAGATTCGTGGGTAATAAAAGAAACCGGTTGGTTGGTATGCAGACAGATAACGGCATTGCCTAATGCGTTTTCTTACTTTAATTAGATTCTATTATTTCGCAGGAAGGTTTTATAGTTGTATCGCGAGTGTGTTTTAATTTACATATTTTTGGATTAATTTGTCTGCAATGACGTCTGAATTTCTAGATATATATTTTTATTTTTAACATTTTTAAGGATATATTTTACTAATAATAAGTAATATAAACGCAAAAGTAAGTGAGGATGTGTGTTTGTTACTATTTGAGGCAAAATTTTCGAATTGATTTTGATAAAAATATCTTTAACTTATAAAGATATAGTAATAAATAAATGAATTACGTGAGCAGAACTGCGAGAAAACTTTAGTCTCTTAATACCACATCGGAAAGCTTAATTTCAATCGATAAAATATTTTATATGACTATATTTTGAACTCTTCATTCCATGCGCTAGGTCTTGTGTCTTTGTCTTTTTATCTTCTTGCAAAACTGAGTTCATTAATTAATAAATAAAATATACTGTACTTAAAAATAAAAAGTAATAATAGAAGTAATTATAAACATGAACAGTATATAACTGCTAGACTTACTTGAAACCGAATCTACGACCTTCAGTGTACACCTTTAGTCTACTTCTAAAAACTAACAGCTTGTTCTCCTAATTATAGCAAAAATAATCATTATTACTAAAAAAGTTATTAAATAAATAAATTAATTAAATTGTCGTTAAAAGTTTGATGTTAATTGGAAATTATAGGCCACTTGCAACACTTAACGAAACTTTACTTAACTTACTCGTTTCATTTTTATTGTTGTTTTGACGTACCAAATTAAAGCAGATGTTTCACTATAAATAAGTAATGAGTTTGATAAGAAGCGACACGAAGCCTGTATCGCTATACTATTTATATTACTTAGTCACACTATGTTTTAGTTATCTTTATAATGTGAAAGTGTATGTTTGTTTGTCTGCTTTTGATTGTACTACTAAATAAATTAATAAATTTTTATTATAATCACTAATTAGTATACTATGAAACTTAACGATGATATTTTCAAGTGTAGTCGACTTCAGTAAGGAAGAGTTCGGGTTGTTTGTTGAGTGATATTTATGCCAATTATAAGGCGGGTTTCATTATTGTTTTTGAATAAATAAATGTATACTGTATATTCTATACCCTCAAGGGTTGTCTCATATTAATTTCAAGAAAGAATACCACTCAGGCCTTTTATTATTATTATTACAGTTTGTAGTAACCATACTCGCTGTGCCAGCGATCGCGAGTTCGAGTCCTGCTGGGGACATACATTTGTGTGTGTGTTATCTCATAAGCGTCTGGCAATCCAGCCGGGCGCAAAGCCAAGAAACGCACAGGGAGGTGGCCCAATTCGGTGGGTGGTGTACTGTGCGCGTTGCTCCTGGTTCTTCTATGACGGCAGAGTGGACCGTAAAAGCATCCCCACGGTTGTTGTGATCTGCTTCTGCAGACCTGCCATCGGAGCGTCGTGATTGAGTGCGTTAGCGATCCTGCGACCCCTTATTCAGACATGGGAGGTTCTGTTGGGTTTTAGTGGGTAGTACTGGCTTTGCCGGCGAGTCCCACATAAATAGCCAACTTATAATATATAATCCCACGTAAATGCATTTCCCAACGTTAAAAAAAAGTTTAGTCTATTTGTGTACTGTATTTAATCTTATCTATTTCAGTCCAGCTTTTTGGTGTGAAGGAGTAACAAACATGCAGAGACGTACACATATAAGTACAAACTTTCACATTTATTTATAACAGTAGCCTGGTAACACACAAATGTATGTTACCGGATGTAAATGCAGATATTGATACAATGATTTATATTTTTATAAATATTAATATATTAAAACAAATTACCATAAGCAAATTTTGTATGTAAGAGAAAATGTAAACGAATTAAAGTCATTAATGAACTAATAAAATAACTCGTCTAAACTACTAAGCTTTAGATGTATTCTAACTAATGGTTGCTATCAGATATTCGCGCGGGTCCGTAAGGGCCATCGCTAACTTGTCTGTTGCGGGTCGCATCGTATCTTGCTATCTTACAATTTGCATCCTGAACTGACTATATATTTACAGCCTTAATTTTTTAAGAAAAAATACATTGTTTTCAAAAGAAAGTAATAAATTTTTTATGGGGTATTTTGGGGTATAGTTTGGGGTAGCAGTTTTAGTATTTGTTTTAAATCCATCCATATTATTTTATTTAATATTATAAATGTGAAAGTGTGTTTGTTTGTTTGTTTGTCTTTCTTTCACGTCGAAAAGGAATGATAGATTGGCGTGATGTTTGGTGTGAAGATAGTTAGAGAGCTAGAGAGTGACATAGGCTACTTTTTATCGCAGGAAATCATCTCCTCCCCACGGGAAAACACGTTATAATACAATCCAAAAATTTATTTCTGATCAGAATTACTTGAAACTTGGTATTAATGCTCTTCAATAAAATTAAATAAATACGTGTTTTAGCATTTTTCGAAATTCATCCTATAAGGAGGCAAAATAGGGGATGAAAGTTTGTATGAAACCTAGATACTTACCTTTTTAGAGATTTTTTTGTAGTTTTAGCGCGAACGAAGCCGCGGGTTCTGCTAGTAATTATATAAATACTATATAAGAAACATAAAGCTGACTTTGTTAAACCTATGTAGGTTGGAATATACTTTAAAAATGAGTTTTAAGAAATTCTACTCCTAAATAATAAAAATGTAATGCAAAAGATAATGTGAAAAAAGATCCATTTACAAAAAATAACCTCGAAAACAGGTTTTAAAGCGTTCAAATTACATGTAGGCTTGTTTTATGATAATATCTATTACTTCCTTAGCTTACTTCTAGACTGTAACATTGTTAATTATATTATTGCGTAATATGTTTTTATGTTTAGCATTTTTTCAAGTTTTTATGTTTTGTGTTTAAGAGTTTTTATTTAAAAAAACCTATTTTTTCTAGTTTATAAGAAAATACATCCAGCCACTTAATTCCACATAAAATGAAAATTGAATATTCATCTCTCATAAAAATCGAACCCTTTAATAAATCGGATATTGTCACTACCGTACGACAATTATCCATAACAATGTTGCAATATTTATATATGTATATAAAAAGCGAAACCTTTTTGTTTTTGTGTTTGCGCATCTCATTGCGTCGTGCGCGCAACGTAATGACAGGCCGCACGCGCGCTGCCTAATTGATAATGAGCGCGAACGTGCGCGCGAGACATGCGCCATGGGAACCGCGCACGGTCTGAGCTGAGATGTAAGATTTGCGTACAGAATACGAGAACGCATACAAATTAAATATTTATATACTTCCTATAATTATTTATTTATTAACTAGTGGCTTATCTTTGCTTCATTCAGAATATAGAATAGTTTAGAGACACATAGAGGGCAAAAAAATATAAAGAAAAGTTCATTTTATTTTTGGGTCGGGAATCTTCTGGCGAAGCAAAATACTTAACACACCAAAGTTTTTATCGTTATCGGGTGAATGGTTTAAGAATGCGTAGTACAAAAATGTGAAGAAACCTTTATTTTCATTTATAGAGATAGGTCATAAATACCTTTTTGTATTGTATTCAGCACTTTTTAACGTCTCACTGCTGGGAAGGAGCCTCCATTCAATACGAGTGGGATCAGGCTATAGTCCACCACGCTAGCTAGCCAAGTGCAGGTTGGCGGACCTCATGTCTTTCAAAACTTGCTAATAGATTAGTATGATAACATTATATAGCCAAAAGATGTATAAAATAAAATAGTATGTTCTTTCCATGACACGGACACAAATCTTTTTGTAACTTCCATACAAATGATTTATTATTTATTGTTCTAAAAAATCTCAAATTATTGTAGTTTTTTGCAATCATTATATTTTCAAGTTTTTCTAAATTTATGCATGAGAGCTACTGCAATTTATTTCATAAGTACATTGTATAACTATATAACAAAACAACAAACATTTAAATTAATATCATTTTACCTCAAACATATACATATATATATATATATATATATATATATATATATATATATATATATATATATATATATATATATATATATAGTAACGCATCGAATGTTTCTAAATATATGACCTAGAATATTAAGAGAAGTAACTAAAATAAAAAAATCTAGTGAATATGTAAGCTTATGTTAGTAAAAAGTGGCCTTGTGTGTACGAGGCATGCGACCG